CTGTAATAGCTCATGGGTCAGACACTGCACAGCAGCTTAGTGGCAGGGACAGCGGGTTAAACATCTTGTAGCCTGTGACTCAGACATACTTGCACAAAGCTGTCCGTGAAAGGAACTGCTAGGGCTTTGTGGATTTGAGAATGGATTTATGTATTTCCGGGGCAGGCATAAAATTTAATAGTAATAGACAGATTAGTCATAACTAGATATACTGGTGCAAGTACTTCCTTTTCCTCCCAGATCAGTAGTTTTAGCAGAATGAGGCAGAAGGGCAGTGAGGAGAGAGCTGTTGCTCACACCGAGAAGCTGTGATACAGTGCAGGCCTTGGAGAGAACGTGAGTGATGGAGCCAACCACAGCTCCTGCTGCTTCCATGGATTAGTGAGGAAGCTCTGGGCAAGAACTGGTCCTGGTCTCCGAGAAGTTGCTTTAAAGCTGCTCAGATAGGGAAGGCAGGTCTTCCTCCCTCCATGGAGCTCCATACACACTGGGAGCTGTCAGCTGCCAAACTTCCCCTGGCAGGTTTGCTCTAGCTAATGACAAGTGGGCTGAACGCCAAGGTTGCTGAGATGGAGATGGGGAACTTTTCAGTAGCTGAGATGCCTGAGCACTGGTGGTGAGTTTCTGCTTCTCTGGTGGTGCAGAGACCTCTCCGCTTCTGCTGCGGAGTTAGCCCTGCTGCATGCAGTGAAGAGCGGAGTGATCTGGGCACAGGAACAGGGGCAGTGTGCAACTAGGATGTCTGGTGCGGAAGTCCCCATGGGGGTGGAAGCACTGCTGAGATGACTGAGTCTGCAGTTCTCAAGTTGTGAGTACAAAATGCAAGATGGAGACACCTGGATATTGTTCCTAGAAACATGTACAGACATTTCTGTCCTGTTACCCTAAAGGTAACTGATTTGAGCCTCTTTCAGTGCCCTCGCTTCTGGTATCTCCAGTTAGAGAACAGGTCAAATATACAGAGACGACAAGATAGTTGGCAGCGGGTAGAAAAGACTCACAGCATCTCCTTTGACATGGATGACAAGAGCAGCTGCACATCTTGTGCTCATCCTGCTCATCTCAGGAACAGGAATGTCAGGCACCCACTTTGCTTGGCATAATCCAGGGACCAGGCAGCAGGTACGTCCTGCCTGAAGCCAGGTGTTACATGCAAAGGGAAGGATGGGCAGGGGCTCTCTCTGAGGCAGTTAAAATTACCCTGAAAAGCTGCTTCCCCTTTCCCAGAAAACCTGCTCATCCTGCGTTGAACTGCAGAGGTGCTGTGGTTGATGCAGACAAGGGAGCTAGCTGAACAGCCAAATCCTGAAGAAAGACAATCGAGCAAGGCTTAACCAAGCCACCCTGCTTTACACCCACCGCCCAGCCTTTCATGCTGCCAGAAACGCTGGCGTGACCTGAGATGTCCTGCGAATTGCTGTGGTCTGTTGCACGGCTAGCTAGGGAGGTTAGCAACCAAGAGATACTGGAAGTGATGCGCTAGAGTTAAGTGGTGCTAGTAGCAATGATAGTCAGATATGTCCTGGATGCCTAAAATCAGGTGCGGGGGATCCAGACTAAGTTAAAGTCACTAGGCACAAAGTCACCTGGACACTGTGCACTTGGCTGAAGTTAGAAGTGTAGGTGCTGCCTGTGTAGTGGAGGGGCCACAGAGATGCGAAATGCAGTGCTAGGAATTTTTCTTCAGGTAAACTATGTTCAGGTATGTGACTAGGGATCTTAGGGAAAGCCAGCTCAAATGATGATAGAATCCGAGACCTCTCATACTACCACTCTCCACCCCCAAACTGGCCTCTTAAGTTAGCGTAAAACTTGCCAGGTGGCTCGTTCTCAGTTACATACATCCTGAGTGCATCTCCCTTATCTTTCGTTCTTCACACTCTTCCTGTAACTGGGAACAGTAGCTGGCTTTGCGTGACTGAACTGGTAATTAGCTGTTGTGTCATCTCTGACGATGGCTGCAGGAAGCTAAGGCAACCAGTTATGCTCCTTATTTTCCTGCTGTCCTTTGTAGAAGTACCAGCAAGCAACAGCATTACTATTCCAGTAAAGCAGCTGCTGCTGTCAGTGTTTGCCCTGCTGTAATGCCAGACCCAGTGCTGCACTTGCATCCTGGCAATACAGCAGTGAGAATTTGCATTCCTGCGAGGTGTTAACTAATATTCACCGTCTTGTGAGTGTTATCTCGTAATCCGCAGAGTATTTGCTTAGTGAACAGTGAAGGAACACAGGAGTAACTGCCTCTCCTAGGGCCTGTGTTTGATATACATCATTTGATAGCCCTGCGGGGAAAGCCCGTCCTTGCCAATCCAGAGTGTGGATCCCTTATCCTTTCACAGGATCCCCCTCCCACTGACGTCAGAGGAGGAATATGTGCATGGGGGAAAGGGCAAAATAAAGCAGTGCAGAGCAGGAAGAACTTTGCCCTAATGCAGAAAATACTTCTGGGTGTCAGCAAATATCCACACCTGTGCTCTTGGGCTTACTGTGTTTGGCCTGTGTGTCTGCAGTCAGGCAAAGGAGCCTATCAGCTGTGCATGGGTAGAATGGGGCAAATCTTCGTTGTGCTTTGTATGAGGTGGTGTATTTTAATCTGTCCTGTACAAGTGTCTGAATCCTGGCATTTCTCCTTTAAGGACTGGTTCAGGTGGAAATTGGTTCCTCTTTTTGGAGCAAAGATAAGAGATGACCTGTCTGGGCTTAAGTTTCTAAAACACAAAAGCCACGTCCTAATAGTTCTTGAACTAAGAACTTGTGACTGGAAAACAACTGGTCAAATTGCACTCAGGCTAAGGAGGTAGCAGGCCTGAACCAAGGTATGTAGGGCAGAAGAGATCTTTGTTGATCTTCTTTCACCTCCTTCATAAAGAACAGTAAGATTAGGTGTCTCGGAAACATCTAGCATATTTTGGCTTTATTTCTGTTCCTTGTAGACATGTGGGCCCCAGACCAAATTCTGCCCTGGCCTATGAATGGAGGTGGCAGAAGTAGTATGTAGGGAACAGGAGGGAAGCTTGAATCACTGACTCTCATGGGTGTCAAGACTGCAGTATCCCTTTTTCATAAACACTGTGTTATTCAATGTGTCAGAGCTGTCGCATCCTACAGCTGCTCACCAAGCTGCTGGGGGAACAGCTTGGTCAGTGGAGCACTTCTGAAAAGTCCTTCTAGTTTCTGGTAAGTGGGACTGACTCAGTGAATTTTCTCTGCACAGTGTCCATTGGGGCAGTAGGTCCCTGACTGAAGCTTAAAGCCTGCATTTGCAGAGCAGTAAATGAGCTCCAACATCCGTTAGCTGATGGCCTCATCTCAGCTTACCTTTCTGAGGGTCCAGCTGGCCTTGGAGCAGTGTGTTAACTACGGCTCCAGGCAGAATCTGTAGTGAATGCAAAAGGCCATGAAAAAATCCCACCCTGAAAGTAAACTTGCTGGTCCTGCCCCATCTCAGTGAAAGGCAGGTCTTGCTGAGTCATCCGAGCAGAAGTAAATGTCTGACTTAGAGTCTCCTTTCTCAAGTCAGAATTCCTGTATCATTGCGGTGTTACTGTGGTTGTCCCCTTGGCAAACCTAGATTCAGTGCTTTTTTTCTAAAGCTCAATAAAAATCTGAGTTATTGGCTTTGCAGGAGTCATGGTGAAGAGGAGGGAAAGGGAGAGGAATTGTAAAACTTGTCCCTTTAAGAAGGATATTCCTGCCATTCTTATATCTAACTAGAATCCTTATTAATCATCCAGAAATAGATGAGCTGCAGGAAGTCCATAAATCACTACTAGATTTAACACTGAGATGTAATGAAACTTTCTAATAACCAGAGTTGAATTAGAGTGATAAAGAAATTATGAAGGCACACTCCCTCCATTAGGCAAGCATGACCTGACAAGTTAATAGAGGCGAACAGCCCAAAGACACAAATTACAGACTTCAGTGGAATAGGGCTGATGACTAAACAGTTCATGAGCAGGTTAGTTTGTGGCCACAGCAGGAGTGCTAGCCAAGTGAATTTCATGGCCAGCTGGAGCAAACATTAACTGTTCCTCGTGGGATAGCCAGGAAGCTACAAATGCTTGTGGCTGGCTTGCAGTGCTCTTTGGAAATGCTCACTCGTGGAGCAAAATGTCTGAAAGCCTTGCCTGTGCCAGGCCTCACACCTTGAAATACCTCAGTGTGCTGTGGACGATGAATCTCTGAGAGAAGGGGGCTCCTTGGTCCTCAGCGTAGTGCTGCCGGCACTCTGGGCACCAGACTCCTCATCTTTCATGGTGCAGCCCCCTAATATTACTGGCACCCTTTATCAAACCAGCTAAGCTGTGGTCTTGATGGATGGGTAAGGAATGAAAGAGAGGTAGCTGTTGTCTCCCAGCCCTGAGATGGGTAACACTTGTTCGGGATCTCTAACTCGGATAGTGCTTCTGAGAGCCAGTGACTGCATGCAGAGGGCTTGGTGCCTCACGTAAGCTGTCGATGCAAGTGCACATTCAGCTGAGTAACTCTGAGAGGGGGTGTTAGTGCAGGAACTGGCCAGCCTTTCAAACTGGTTACAGCAAGTAGAGGGCCGAGGACAAGCAGCTTTTGGGTAAAGCTTTCCCAGAGCTCTAGCTGGTCTCTAGAGCCACTGTGAGCCACGGAGCCTGGCACAGCTCTGACCCAGAGTGCTGAGTTGCCAGCTGTGTTGACCTGCTGAGTTCCAAGAAACCATTCCCTACCCCTGGCACTGTTGTTGGTTTGGATTCTTGATTTTTGGTCCCAAAAACTCTTCCTGCAATGAGTAGAAGATTGCCATACCTAATTGTGAGACTCTGACTTCCTTGTGTGGGTGCTCTGTCAGGCTCAGGATTCTGAGTTTGGTCAGAGCTGGACCAAATTCTGCTTCTTGTTGACCTATGCAACCTGTCAAAGGCCATTCCTGTCCAGCCTCACTCAGAGCATTGTCCAGAGGTGGTCATAGACATGGAGTTCCTATTTTATCTCTGTTGTGGGTTTACATACATGAGTTTACAAACATGAGTTTCCATTTCAGAGATTATTTCTTTAGGTTGCCTTATGTGATAGAGGCAGCAGATCTGAGATCTGTATTTTTTTTCAGCTTACACTGGTTTTGTATTAAGGTAGAAAGCTTCTGTTCTTCTGTTATTGACTTGAAGACTAGACCATCTGGAATAGAGAGCTACACTTATCGAGATCTCATTTTGACTCTTATTTTTATTCTCTTGTAGGTTATGTATTACAAGCAGTCCTGGGCACAACAGTGATTCCGTTATGTGAGCCTAGTGAAATGGACAACTGCACAACAGCACTAAGTAAGGACACTGTACTGCTGTCTTTGCAAAGAACAAGTCTTTGGTTTCCATCTTTCTTGGGCTGGCAACCCCACTGTGGTGCCCTGGAAAATGACTTGAAAAATCTGACTTGAAAAATCCTGCAAAGTATTCACTTTTGTTGCAGAACAACTATCTTTTAGCCTATATTTCCTTTAGTATTGCTTCTTGGCAAAAGAGCTGTGTCTTAGATGAAAATACTACTGTAAAGGCAGGAGCTTCTGCAAAACTCCTCAGAGAAGAGCCAGGAAGAGTCAGTATAATTCTAGCCAGGGCAAATCTTCTCCCTGTTCAAAAGCTTGCCTGTCATAATGTGTACATCACTGGAAGTTTGCTGGCATCTAGGCTGCTAGCTGTGCTTGTAAAGCGGTGTTTGGGAAGCCTAAAGGCAGATAGTGGCTCATGACATGCTAACCAGATCTCTTTACAGTTCAGACAGAGAACAGTCCACGTGTGGCTCAAGTCGGGATAACTAGATGCAAGCCTGAAATGAAGGACTACTGCTTCCATGGACAGTGCGTGTACATAGTGGACTTGGACGAGCACTATTGCAGGTACAGACAAAATACAATGTCTTGTTAAAACCAGCTCTTGAACGCAGGTTGACTTTGGTCTTGTTGATACTGATGCTTACCTGGAACAGCAATCCAACAAGCGATTCAGATTTTCACGAGGAATTAAACAGGAGCCGTATATCTATAACAGACCTTGGCTGGATTTAAGCAGGTGTTAAGCACATGTGCTGGCTGTAGTGGAACTTGTGTAGGAGTCAGGACTTGTGAAATTAGTCACCCAACAACACTCATTCTGATGTACCTCCCATTGTTAATCTCTATTTACAATAGTGTGAGATCCAGAGCTCAGACAAAGTAGCAGGATCTCTCCTTTGATTCACTCTGTGAGGTAAAGGTCCCGTAGGCTTTTTCAAGTGTATTCTTCACTTGAAGAATTTACCTCCATTTCCAGAACCACATGGATTTCAGTTATCCCAGTTCAAGTTGCTTGTCCCTCAGGAAATAGCAGGGCAGTGTGGGTAGGATGCCCCTAAGAGTTGTGTAAAAGTGCTAAATTGTAACAGCGGTGTCTCTAATTCTGTCTCTCTCTGCGCAGGTGTGATGTAGGCTTCTCTGGTGTCCGCTGTGTGCACTCAGAACTCGTCAGACAGCCCCTCAGTAAGGAGTATGTGGCACTGACAGTAATCCTAATTCTGCTTTTCCTCGTCGCTGCCTCCATTGCAAGCTACTACATCTGCAAAAGGTAAGAGTCTCTTCAAGCCTCAGGAAGGCGAGTCATTTGTGTGTCATATGTCCACTGAGGACCTCCAGTTAGATGGGTTGTCCACACTCACTCAATTGCATGGAGATCAGTTTGATATCCAGGCCTGCTGGTCTGTACTCAGTGAAGTGATCCAGAAAGTAGTGTGCTTGAAGCATACCTCAAGGTGAGGGTTACATTATGCCTAGGTACCTCTGCCTTCAGATGTCCTTGGACTCTATCAGAGGTTAACTTGTTGCCATCATAGAGGGTATGTCTTGAGGGTTGCTGTCTCGAGGTAATGGAGAGAGAGGGCATAGAATAGGAAAACTAGTTTGTTCTCTTGGTAATGCCATTTTCCCAGTCAGCATGAACTGGAGAACAACTGGATGAATAGCTAACTCGCTTATCTACCATATTACTGTGGTGACTAAGCTATATTGCTAGCTTTTCCTTACCAGCTGTACCAAGGAGGCAGCAATCTTCTGCATTAACAGA